CTGTTGATTCAACTTATTATTTCCGAATGGGTCGACCACTGGATTACAAAAATAGAACGTTTTCTTCTTTTTACTAAGAATCTAATAATCACGTGATTTAGTTGAGCATAAAGGCTTCCTTTAGCATAATGGCTTGTTTATTTAGCGTATATTATAATTGTAATTAATACAGTCGAGTGTCGTGTGTCGTGTGTCAGAGTTGGCTCGCAGTTGTGCCAATCTCGCTTAGTAGACAACAATACTTGTTCCCGACTGTGTTGGTAATCAGTGCCAAGGGCAAAACCAGCAAGTGTGGACAGTGTGGTCATATTTTCCGTCAATTATGTGTACGTCATGTAGTTGACTTAATCTGCTTTAGCTACAACGGAACCCTCCAGGCTGTGACAGTTGATCTGTTTTTAATTGACACATCATGAGATACCTTATCAATGAGCGATGATCACCTGGATTATCACGAAAACTACATCTTCCTTGCTTATTTTTTTTATTGTTTTGCTTGATCTTTATTTTTTTTACTGTGACTGTTTTGAGGACAAGGCTACACAAGTTTACTTTGAGCAGCTATTTCGATTTCTGGTACCCATGCACCTACTGTTTTGTAAAGATCTTGAGATGAAAAAAATCCTAAAAAAAACTTAGAAATAAAACGCTTGGCTAGCGTGTTGTTTCTTGCCGGATCCCTTGTTTTAGAATGCACGTGCCACACGTCACTTGAAGTGTAACTTAAAGTGATTGCAAGGCTGGCACTACGTCAAAAGGGCAGATTTATTGGCCGATATTTCGACCAGCAGAACTAGTCTTGCTCAGGGCCAAGGCAATAATAAAATAGCCTGTTTTATCAGACTGGTCAGCTTCACACTAACTTGAACACAATTTGTATCTTCAATCAACAGAATTTGACCGTGGAACGAAGTCAGGACAAGATAGTTTGCGTGGAAGGTATTTACCATGATATTTATGCGTATTACACAGTTGGAACTTAAGCTTATCTCAGTTTCTGTCTAAGACTTGCATCACTAGAAGCTACTAGACTCGGATACTAGACTTAAACTTTACGGCGGTCAAATGCTCGAGCACACTGTGCGCAAAGGCGTACATTCTGGTCGCCCGCGCGCGAATTTCCCGCGCAAATTTGAAAGGAAAACCATTACAAAATCCAGTGTCACGCAAAATTTGCGAGAAAAATCGAAACCTTGATAGTAATTTGCGAAGGAAATAAAAGTAGGTAAAAGAAGAAGTTTAGACGTTCAGTATATTTCCAGAATTCTATTGATTTATCTTTCTTTTTTGGATGTTTACAAAAAAAGTTAGATGTGTTAATTTTAATACACGGTGTAATGTTGAGGTTTGTTGGTGTGGTTTATTTTTGTTCGCATGCCCAGACGTTTGACTGTGGTGGAGACCTAACCCAGCACAGGTTACATGCTACAATTTTTTTTGGCATGTTTCTGGATACTCACTGATCAGATCATGTTTTATCTAGTAAATACTAAAGCACCGTGTCTCTCGCTATATATTTCTGTGTATAGCATGTGTGAATCAGGTATTCAGAATACACAAATTCTTATCACAACTCACATTGATTGAAACTCAGGTCGTGTATAGCATGTGTGACCATAGTTAATAGAGGGAAATGGTTATGAAGCCCAGCAAACTTCAAAGGAAGCAAACAAGAGGCCAAGATTTATGCTGGAAGGTTCATGACCGTGGCACATCTTTTGTTTTGAGCTCATTCACTATGCATGAATTACGTAATCGCAACGTTTCTATTGGTTAGTTGCTTGAACACACGTTACCACCTATTGTATTTTGTCAGGCTTTGTGCACGGTTCAACCCCCAAAATAGCGAACAAAAACATATAACAAAGAACTTTGGCGGGCTTCATAACCATTTCCCTCTATTAACTATGGTGTGAATCAGGTATTCAGAATACACAAATCCTTATCACAGCTCACATTGATTAAAACTCAGGTCGTGTTGGACCTCAAGGTCCCCCAGGCCCACCCGGTTCAAACTGGTCCTACTGGTGCCCAGGGCCCTCCTGGAAAAGAGGAAGAAAGGGAACAAGGGGTTTAGCTGGTTCCCCAGGAAAGCGAGGCAGCAGGGGATCACCAGGAGCCCTGGGGCAACAGGTCCCCCTGGGGCAACACGTCCACCTGGGGCAACAGGAGCCCCTGGGGCAAAAGGTCCCCCTGGGGCAACAGGTCCCCCTGGGAAATCAACTCAACATAAAACAGACCGAAGTAATGGACCCAATTAGGTAAGATATGTTGGATAATTGACGCTGTAGTGTGTTGTGATGAAACAATCAATGTTTAAAACAACTTATGCTATAAGACGATGTATCGGGAAAAGCCGATAGATCAATTTTAAATCTAGTACGATGCAACACAAGTTTTAATATGAGTATATGTATGATACTGGACCTGCCACACGTGCATTGGCAACAGACGCACTTGTAAGCCTCTTTCCTGGAAGAATTTACTATGCAGAAGAGCAGAACATTGGGCAATATTTACATACAAGTCACTGAATAATCTGTTTTCACATACTTTTCAGGGTAATCTTAATAGAGACTTACACGGATATGATACTAGATCCAGACATAACATCCGCAGGCCCAGTGCAAGTACAAGATGGCACAAGACAACTATTAACTTTGCAGCAGACGTTTAGAAATTAGTAGGGGACGTTAAAGAACCTGTGGTCTGGCCTATTCACATTGTTCTTTCATCTCATATCTCATGGGTAGGGTGGGTGGGTGAGATCATAATGGACTGATAGCCGCTGCCAGAGGCGCCCTTGGAAGCTGAAGTCCGAACTCATCCTTCACTGATGTAAAACAGACATGTATGTTTGTCTGTTATTTCACGACATTACATTACTTAACACGTTTAGAACAGTTTAGATATATATCTCTAAAATCTGTAAATCTGGGAATCTGTAAAAACAATCGGTAGCTTCACAGGCTCATGCACGAAGAGAATTCGACAACGCTGATTGGAAGTAGTAGATTTTAAAAAAATGTTTAGACACACTTGTGCCAAACTTTATTGACCTAGCAGAGATTTTTGTGTCATAGATTATCATTGTTCCTGCCCTAAAAGGCGTTAGAAAAGAAGATTTGCTTTGACCATATTGGTTTTTCTCGTTTGAACTTCTAGCCACTGCAACTGGGACCTATACAGTCCATTACTGATAAGTTATCCAATAATGACGTAAAATATTAGGTAAAATAAAATTTGTTTTGCAGAATTACCACACTTCACTACAACGCTTTCTCCTTCTGTGACGTTTAAAGAGAATCAAAACGTCACATTGCGTTGCAAAGCAGCTGGGTTTCCACCGCCAGTGATCACGTGGTCTAAAAATGGTCACGTGATAGAAGAAGATGAGAAGAAAGTTTCAGGAAAGAAACTTGGAAATAAAGGGAATTCAGTTTGAAGACCGCGGTATGTACACCTGTATAGCGGAGAACCTGTTGGGCAGAGTTCAACTATCAGTCAATGTAACTGTCAATGGTATGTAATTAATTCAGCCCACATTAACAAACACGCGGTCTTGTCCTTGTTCGACCATCAATAATTCCTTGAAGGAGTAAATGTAAACTTGAGGAGTTGTACCATAGAGCGGTTTTCAATTGAGTGGCGTGAAACCAAAACCAAAGCAATTACATTGGCCAATCACAACAAACGAAAACAACACAATGAACCAATGAGAACACTCGAAGCAAATACACGTAACCCGCGCCAAGCGCGGGAAAACGCGTGTGCCCATGTCGCGATTGGTTTTGGTTTTGCATATCTGATTGGTTGAGAAGGGACGTGGCGCGAGTTTTTTGAACCAATCATAGAGCGTAGGAAGCAAAATGCAGTGATTACTTTCGACAGTCAATCGACTGAAACCTCTCTATCGTGAGATATTTGTACTCGTTTTGCGCCTTATTTGTACTCTATTGACTGCAATAATGGATAATAAAAAAGTGCCCAACATCATATATTTTATGCCAATATTTCTATATTTTTTTCTTCCAGTACCAACAAAATTTATCACAGAGCCAAAGAGTTCTGTGACCGCTTACAAGACATGGGACACGATTGTGAAGTGTGACATTTTTGGCCTCCCCTTCCCTGAGATTACATGGACAAGATCACACAAGAAACTTCCAATCAACAGACATGTCTTAGCTGGGAAGAAACTTACGATTAAAAACACAACAGGGGACGATGGTGGTGCTTATGTATGCCAAGGAGCTAATGAATTGGGAATGTAATGTCAGTGATATGGATCATTGTAAAAGATGTGGGTAAGCTAAGAATATCAAATCAAAGGATCCTATGAGCTGACTCGTAAATGATAAATTAATTTGCATAAATTAATAGCGCGATTGCAGTTTACAGCCCATCGACCGACCGACCGAGTGAAATTAGTCCACAAATGCTATAACCAGCTCATTGCTTTCGCATTTGGGGAGTTAAAAGTGAAACCTTTTTGTGAATGAAAGCACGTTTGTAACGGTGTCGTTTACTTGTTTCTTTAAGTGAATCCTTCCATTGTGTCCAGACCCCCCAGGGACATTCAAGTACAGAATGTGGGTGATACTGTAAAGTTGAATTGTTCAGCTCGTGGCTCGCCGCTACCTCAAGTCAAATGGTTCAAGGATGGACGACGTGTTATTTCTACGGCTGCAATGTATGACGGGACAGCTTTGATAAAGAGTGAATTAGTCATTCATCGCTTCAAGCCGAGTGACGCTGGGGTCTACACGTGTCTATTTCATAATGAGAAGAATAAGACAGCGCAAGCCAACACAACCCTGAGTATGTGAACGATTTGTTTATTTATGGCGGGGGGGGCGGGGGGGGGGGTGGGGCAGTCTAGGGGAGGCGGGAGAAGAGAGGGCGGGAACCGGGAGAAATAGGAAAAAATTCGCGACAATGTGTAACATTTTTTTTCAATAGAAAAAGAACAAAGAGGCCACCTAGTTATTGGCCTAAGTTCCCACGTCAGTTTCCTGCAGCTGGTAGAGCGTCCGACCGGTGTGCGGAAGGTCGTAGGTTCGACTCCTGTTGGGGGAACTAGGAATTTTTTTCGAGTAGCTTGTGTCACTGACTGAATCATAGGGCCGCAGAAAATGTAGCGGTTTCTGTAATCACATTTGTTTTTCCGGGAATAACATCTTTCATAATTACCCTGTTATTTTTACCTTTAAGCCTTAGTCAATTGTGGTGATCCTGGTTCTCCATTTAACGGACAAAAACATGGCTCACGATACTGGACTGATGAATCTGTGACGTTCATTTGTCATCCGGGATATCGCTTGATTGGTCCGGCCACTAGAATGTGTCTGCCTTCCGGTAACTGGAGTGGTATACAACCTTCATGTAAGCGATGGGATTCTATACTCAACTTAACAAATAGATTAGTTATACTGAGATGCATCGATGACGTCAAAATGTGGTAAGAACAAAAAAGTGGCCAACGAGATAAAGTCGAGCGGGTCGCTGATGTTCTAGTCTGAAGTGTGTGGGGTTGGAGCGAGGAGGGGGTTGGAGCGAGGAGGCGGCTGACACTTCAGACTACTGATGTTCTTACCACTACTGTTTTTGATAAATCGTTGGGTCCCCGACGGTGAAAATAGTTTTTTAAAACTTTTGCCGATAACAACTTGGACTATGAACGCTGGTCATGCGCTCGAGAGACACCACGCAGTGACGTCATCTATGCGTCTGTCCTCTGATCGCGTCTGATAGATCATGAGCAATATCTCAGTTATTGCATAACATATTATGCAGTTATACTTTACGTTTTACGGTAACGTCTGTAACAAGAAAATGGTACAAATGTAAGAATTGAAGAGGAAACTGTTGAACTAAAAAATCAAGCATGAGCATACTAGATCAAGCATTGCTCGGACTTGTTTTGTTCTAGCTTGTAGAGAGGTTTTCAGTAGAGTGTCGTAAAACCAAAACGGCAAAGCAATTACAATGGCTAATCACAACAAACATAAACAACAAAATGAACCAATGAGAACTCGGAGCAAATACACGTAACTGGCGCCAAGCACGGGAAAACGCCTGTGACCAAGTCGTTATTGGTTTTGGTTAGGTGGCGCGAGTTTTTTAAACCAATCATGAATCATAGTAAAATAAAACCAAAGCAATTCCGGATTACTTCCGACACAGGAATACCACTCTAACTCATTATTATTCCCGTCACTACTTTTAAATGAAGGTCACAGAACTTGTCCTCCTTTGGAAAGCTTGGAGTATGGTCTTACTCACGGACAACAATACTGGGAGGGAAAACACATTTCATTCACCTGTAATCCTGGTTACTGGCTAAAAGGATCACCACAACGTCGCTGCCTTAACAATGGTACTTGGACAGGAGTTCAGCCTTCATGTATAGGTAAGAGGCATTTTAAAATAATATTATTTATAACGGTACGTATTTAACTAATGATTCCAAAACATCAAAATACACTGAATAGAAGCTGGAGGAAAAACGAAGATAAATGTGAAGACAGATACGCATATTCTTTTGTTAATAAAACGGCGTTCTATACATGGAGAGAAAGAAACATTGTTTTCGCGTCGAGAGCAGAACGTGAGCATGTTTTCCAAGCATAAATTATCCGTTTCTATTTCCGTTTAATTTTTCGTTGTTATCTTGTTTTAAATTATCTATGACTAACGTGCTAGACCAGCTTTCCAACAATGAAAACTCGAAATACAGCTGAAAGTAAAGTTCCTTGGCTTCGAGCCCGAATGAATGGGATATCTGGGGTTCAAAAGAGCAAATATTAAGTTGTAAGTGTAACCCTGCAAGAACCGTTCGCTTGTAAAACGATACTCTTCCTCCATGCAAGCAACAACTAAATCATTTACGTGCGTGTAACTGAGAAGGGAGTGATAGTTTCACGCCAATAATGTTTGTTTCTTCTTTCAGGGACGATAATAATACAATCAAATATTATCCAAGGCAATGAATTCTTCTTCATTCGTCTCACTGGATTTCTGGATCCCGTGGTTGGTTCTCATCCATATTGGAAGCTGTGTTACCGCGCCTCCACTCATAGCTGGGCGTCAAGTACCTTTCATAGCAGATGTGATGCTAAACGTAACACGGTGACCATCATCAAAAAGAACCAGTTCGTGTTTGGAGGATTCACTGACATTCCTTGGGGTATGGATCAGTATAATAATAAAAATACGGGTCTCGAAGAACCTCGTGAACGAAATAAAATTTAACGAAATTTGGATCCGATTGTTGGATTTTAGGGTGCATTTTTGGGCGAAAGGGTAGAGGTGTTCAGTTCTGCTGGCAGTCTGTGTGTATAACTTCCCCTGGCTGGTAAATCTGTAATGTTAATACAATATAACAAAGCCAGCAAAGTCGCGCGATGTGGACCACTGTTCTTGGCTACGTTTTGAGTACCGCGTATTCAATGTAAACTTCACTGCGCTAAGCTTGGAGCAATTCTTGAGGAGTCGTTCCTTGTCCAACTCGCAGTGTAATTAACAAAAAAAGAAAACAACAAAAAAAGGACCCGGGCGGATACGAACCCGGGCCGCTGGGTCCCGATGATCAGATTGACAGGCGAGTAAGGATGGTGTTTGGCAGAAGAAATAAATAAAGAAATGTGACTGTACTTGATCCCGCCTGTGCTCCTTGCCGACAAAATCACAAACCTCGTACGCTCGACCTCGCTTCGTGAGGAATAAACAGCTATTGTCACTTTTTTTAATGCATGATTGTTATTAACCTATCAGTATGGGTAAACAGGCGGAGTGCGTGAACCATGAAATACTGCCAATCGGCGATGATATCTGCAATTTTAAGAAAGGCTGGTATCTTCAGACAACCTCAGACGTACCAGGGAAAGTGCATGCCAAACACCTCCCCCCCCCCCCCCCCCCCCTTCTCAAACACCAACTGAAGAGACGAACACGAAACGAATGCAAAATAGAATCCATTTTTAAAACGTGATGTATAAAGTATGTGCCATTTTCTAGGGCAAAATATGGACGGTGACGCATAGCCACATATACTTATTACTGCATTATTTTTTCTTCTTTCTTTCATTCAGTGTAAAAGTTATTACCCAGACCCTTCCCAGCCTGTGTGTCTTGCTGGCGTGTACATCCGGGCCATTTTCCATGCTACACGTCAATCTTAAACCGTTCCAGAACACTCTACGGTTGCCAAACAACACTGAGATTTTCAGAAATATGAGCAAATTATATAACGAAGAAAATGTAATTTAACAGAAAACTAACATAATGCTCCTGACTTACTGATTTGCACGCTCTTCTTGGTGTTGCAATAGAGCAGCTCTCTTAGTATTTCCGTGTGATTACACGTCGCTTATTATAACAAGGTTCGCTGCTGATTAAAATGACTAAGATAATATGCCACGCTCGACATGTAAAATGTAACCTGGCATGGAGACTATCAGGATAAAATTACAAATTTGCCAACTTTCCTTTGTGCTGGAATTTATCTAATACCGCGAGAGACTGGGATACAATGAGTAAGGTTAACGGCAGATATCGAACATGGCCTATTACCCTCTCTTGTTAATATCATTTATTTGTTTTTTATATCTTGTTTTTTCAAATTCAGTTTCAGAGTCCAGTAGTGGATATGGTTCTACTTCCAACGCGTTCATTTTCTCTCTCCGCAACAAAGAAGGACTAGGACCTTTTAAAAGCGCGGTGACAAAGCCGTCATATGCAATTTTCAGGTACTCATCTTATGGTCCAACATTTGGTGCCGGGCACGACATCCACATTGCAAACAATGCCAACAGTAACACCAATTCACGCACAAACTTTGGTCACTCCTACTCTGTTCCAAGTGGAGTACAAGACAAGAGAACAATCCTGGCTGGGACTTACAACTTCTCACCTGATGAAGTGGAGGTGTTTTATCTTGGTTAATTCACAAGATGTGGCGATTAATAAACGATAAACTGTTCATACATATTCAGTTATTTACTTGGTGCCGGTGTTGTAGTTTTTTGACCGTGTCAAAATATACCGGTGTCGAAATGTTAACAAAAGTGTATTTATAAAGCTAGTAGCTCTGTTTCTAATGGAAAAGATACAGTCCGTGTAAAAAATATGCACTTTCTTTTCGGGTTGGTATTTTTAATATTTCGTTTTCATTGTTATAACTATACCGATATATGTAGTGCCTTTGGAAAAAATATATTTCTATTAGCAATAATCAAATATTCAAGGTAATTTATGAAAGTGATAGTCATAATCTACAATTCGCTCAATAGTTTTTTTTTGGTTAAGGTTGTTAAGGCTTTTCTTCAAAACGTTTTAGAATATAAATTAATATATTAAAATATTTCCTGTGATGTAAGAATTGAATAGAAATAAATTACCGTGTGAACAGACTATGTCTGAAACAATTTTCCTTACCGAACGAGACGTACAACGGAAGTGGATTTAATTGGGCTTATTCGGAGGGGGGTGGGGGGGGGGGGCTGAGGGGGTGGGAACCCGGAAGTAAAGGGTGCGGGAAGTCTACGGGAGGCGGGAGAAGGGAGGGCGGGAAGCAAGATTCCCAAGGTGGCGGGAACCGGGAGAGTTAGGAAAAATTTCGCAACATTGCGCAATATTTTGCGTGTACTCGCGAGTTGACATTTACGGCACACAAGTTTGTACAGTCGGAATAAGTACCAGTTGATGATAATTAAAAAATACCGCCTCCGAGACGGGACTGAGCCCGCAGTGTTCGAACCAGAAGTTGCTAAGCAACATGACGCATGTGCTGGCGCGATTGCTTTCAGAGTACTCGTGAGTGCTCGTGCTAGTTTCTGATTGGATAAAAAGATTCGGAAACTCTTCGAGTGCTTCAACGAAGATTTGCCAAAACCGGCACTTGTTCCCCCACTGATTTATAAGTTTACAAACTTCCGTTGAATTGGACTCCGTTTGGCCACAGCTACAGCCACGAATTGATCCAGAAGTCAAGAAATCCCAAGTTCAATCAAATTCTTTATTCATTAGGGCGTCATTCTTTAAAAAAATATATATTTGTATAAACTAATTTCTGTTTT